CTAATTCCTCAAATGTGAATAAAACTATGCTCTGTGTGGTATTTTACAATGAATATTAGACCAAGTGATTAATTAGTACAAGTAGGTATGAGAATGTGAGGGACCATGTTTAAATCTGTAGGACTGTGAATATTTTTAATGGGTCCATTTTCCCTATGAAGCATTAGACGAGGCTAGATTCAGCCATCTCCACATTACCCTTGCACGTTTTACAATGACTTTCCAATATTCCAAGCATAATGCCTTTTTATCAAGGACAGCCTTTCTTAACCACATGGCCAAAGAATGGGAAACTAAGTTTCACCACCCTTGCCTTGAAGGAGCACTTAAGCTACACTTTTTCTAAGATACATTTGTTCAGTCTGGGGATATACAGTACTCTTTTCCAACACTATTTAAAAACATTGTTTCTTCTTGTCACCCTTAGTCATCTTCCAACTTTAAAATAAATGTATAGCAAGTAATTAAAAAGACAATGTTTTAAACTGACATCTTTGGTCTTTTGTACTTTGGATAGTTACTTAACAGCAGATATCCCCAATGCAACATGTCTATTGAGTTCTTTTTTTTCTATTATAAAATTTTATTTATTATGATGTTATTGAGAATATGCATAGCAAAGTTTACACCAATTTAAAGTGCCATTTAGTGACATTGACTATACTCTGCAAATTGTGTAACCCATTCTCACCTCTCATTTTCTGAGTTGTTCTCCAATTAGCTTAAACTTACAGACAAGGTTTCTATCTAATCTTTTGACTTTCTATTGTCTATATGATCTCATATAGATAGGTCTGAAAACAGTATAATATTCAAGGCAGACATTTTTTACTAGTTAAGCTAAACTACTCTTTGGTTTTAAGAAAAAGTTAGGAAATGTTCTGAGTTAAGGTTTAAAAGTTATCTCCGGGTATAATTGCTGGGATTTATCTAACTTCTATGGCTTCAGAAATTCTGGATTCCATGAGAATTTATAATTATGTTGGGCAATTTCTCCCTTTTGATCAAAGTCTTCAGTAATGATAGCCAGGCATCATCAAGTTCTTCTGGTCTGTGGCAAAGTGATAATTAGTCACACATTACATTTCCTTCTCCTTTTCCTGACTTTCCTTTGTTGTTTCAAACAAACAGAAACCAATTGTAATATAAATTGACAGAACCTGTGTAAATTAGTTGAATGGAGTAAAAAATGGCTGCAGGATGGATTCGTAATTATTTTCTTTAAAAACATTTGTACACTTTGATATATGGAGGGCAGGATCTTGTATTATTTCTATGTTTTATAAGCATTACTGGGGAAAGGAATAAAAAATATCAATAAAATATTTTAACAAAAAGTTAAAATATAAATGAGTATCAGATGCTGTGGAGGGT